TGTTAAGGAGGCAGAGTGGATTTGACCAGGGTATGACACTGACCTTAGAATTACTGCCTTCCACAAAAGGTGTTAATCTTGCACCAGGGCCTATCTCTAGTGCCAGCCAGGACCAGGGTAGGAGATTCTGATGCAGGAATACCGGCCTTGAACACCCCAGGAGTGTGAGTAGGGGGTTGTTATGACCTCGCCATTTGGCCTCTGATGTGCTTCTGTCACTAGCTGTCCTCCCAGAATGGCTGTACTCCTGTCAGGGTTGGGAGGATTCGCAGGGGTCACTGTGGTCCTGCAGTTTGGTTTCTGGCCTGCTTCCTTGCACTGGCTGCCTCCCAGATGGCCGTACTCTTGTCCTGGTCATGAGGATTTCTTCTCCATGAGAACTGAAGGTTCACATGTAGTTTTCCAGGAGTCATTTATCACCAACACCTTATACAACAGAAAGTGAACTCCAGCTGTGTGGAGCATGTGCACAGTATCCGTTAAAGAGAATTTCCAGAGCCTTGTGAGGAAAGAAACTCTGTAGCTGGATATGGGCAGCCGAGGTTATAAACCCAGAACGAAAGATGTGCAGACTTGCTGGCCTGGACAGTTTTGGGAGCATCACGTACTCTACTCTCCTGTAGTTCCTGACCATGACCTCTGGTTTTCTGTATATAAAATTTTTCTTTCCATTTTATAAAGATGCTGAAACTGAGACCAGGAGAGGACAGCTCACAGGCCCACTGTCACATGGCAAGTACGTGGCAGAGGCTGGATTTGTCAAAGTAATCTAGAGACATCCACACTGTGAACAGTGAGGCTATCCTAAATGACAAAACAGTGCTCTCAGCCTAGTAGTTACCGTATCTGTGAATGTAAGGAAGTGAGCAAGTGAATATATGAATGGCAGAATTCAACGGGCTCCATTGAACAGGAAAATGATCTGGGCTGTGCAAGGCTGGGAGCACATAGGAAGAAAAAGGACACAGAAGATCTGGACTTAAACATTCCTGGGAGACTACAAGAAAAAGGAGAGAATAAATTTTTTACAAATCTGTATAAAATCTAATTGAAGACTGTCATTGTGAACTTGGCAGTTGGTTTGGTTTCGGGAATCTAGATGTGTGTGGTCATGGCCCAGAACCACCATCAGAGGCCTCTGACCACTACTTGTGATTTTTGTTTCCCAGAGTGGGACCTCCCCTGCTCTTCCTGGTGGTCTACACCCTTCGAGGTTGCCAGTGGCTTTCTCTGTCCTGCAGAGTCTTGTGGCTTTGGGAACATCGTGAGGAAGAACTCACTGCAAGCCTGTTCCTCAAGAATTCAGAACAAATTCAGGTGAAAGTGTGCTGGTTGTGTTAATTGTACAAAGACACTGGGAAGAGACTAAACTTAATCCCAAATGCCAATTCAGTAGTGATGTCCTGATCTCAGGAACAGCATGAGAAGGCTTATCTTTGTGGTCCTCTCCTTCCTGCTAGCCATTTTCAATATTTGGTGAATATTTTTATATTAATTATTGTGTCTTCTTGTTCCCATAAACCCATTAAGTTTAGCATCCAATTGTATTTATTGTGTATTTTAAAATTTTCTGTATTTTATGCTGTTGTGACATCTTGGAAATCTTACTGGCCCAGGTGGAGACTGCCTCTCCCAGGCCCATTCTGGAGACAGCAAAGGGCTGTGCTGAGTAGCTGGAACTACAGATGTGCGCCACCACAACAGCTAATTTTAATTTTTTTATTTTTTGTAGAGACAAGGTCTTGTTATCGCCCAGGCTGGTCTCAAACTCCTGAGTTCAAGTGATCCTCCCTCCTTGGTCTCCCAAAGCTCTAGGATTATCGACAGAAGCCAGTGCTCCCAGCCCTCATTACAACTTAATGAGAACATGTTAGTCAAAAGCCCAGAATCTGCTTCTAAGTATGGCTTTGTTTTCTATTTATTGGTCATCTTAACTCTCAGGTGGGGAGAAACAGTTGTTTTTACTATTATGGTTATTTCAAATTGCTGTCTCTTGTAGTAGGAGTAAGACAAGGAGGACAGTGTTAGAAAGTAATGATTCTTGGAGTACAGAGTTTTAAATAAATTAGAGTGTCATGGCAAACTCAGAGGGGGCCAGAATCTACAGAACACATTAAACCTTGTGAAAAGCTGAAAAGCTGCTGGTTCCAGTGGGACCTCAGCTCAATGAACTGTCAAGTGTTTGGAAAGCAGCCACAGGTGGTTCAAGGCGAAAATTACAGGTGAGACATTGAGGGTCAGTGGGAGTGGTTTGTCTGGCTGTCTTGTCCTGGTTAGACCTTCACGTCTTTGGTATAGACATAGCTGGCAGCCAGGTGGTGGCACTGAGGACAAGCAGGGTGTGGATGACTGTGGCCTCAGAGTCCACCTTCAGGGCAGCACTGAGGTCTCCCTGTGGGCTGCAGGCAAGCTGGGAGGAAGGCCGACTTATGACGAGATGCTGGCAACACTGTCACTCCTTGTCTCACGCGATCATTAATGTGGCTGCGACAAAGAGTTTAGAGGTAAGGGGGATTCTTAGAAATACGGAGGAATCTCTTCCTCTGGTAAAGCAGATGCGAAGAGAAAAATCACAGTACTTTGGGCATTGGAGCACACGTGAGCTTAGTTTTACTCACAGACTGGTAGGGCTGAGACATTGTGGTTAGTTGGGGAAGACTGTCCCTGAGCAATAGTCATGATCAGAAAGTCCCTAAGGAATAGAGGTCAAAGTTTCTGGGGGCTGGAATTAGCAATTAATTATCCCAGGTCGAAAATTACCAGAATGCTCTCCCCTTAAGAATAAGGTTTATGTTTCAAGTATAAGTGGAGAGTTTCGATTGTGTACAAACACAGATGGGAAAAAAAAAAAAAGAGAGACAGTCAAAATGAAATTGATCTCTTTGGGGACTGCAATATCCCCAAGCCCCTCTTGCCTCGCCATGTACAGTGCCCAGACATTATGTACCTGCTCCTGGAAAGTTGTGACATGTAGTGATTTGTGATTATATTGATAATAAACCAGTGTTTCCCAAAGTTTGTTCTGTGGAAAACTGAGAGTCAAATAAATTTGGAAAACTTAGCCAAATATGTCCTCTTAAGTGTTCATAATGCATGTGAGTGTATTAACAGCTCTAAGTCAGATAGATGATAACAAGACTTTGACTCTTGTTTATCAATAATTGTTTCAAGTTATGAGATATAGAAATGCTACTTTTGCATGAAAGCTATAAAGGTTTGTGTAATTCTGTCTGATATGATGTGCAGGAGATTTTTGGTGGGTATTTGTCAGATCTTTCAATGCTGATATGAGAAAGGGTCCAAGCAATATTTGTATCCAATTTGATATTCTTCATCCAAGATATTGAGCATAATGCTCTAAGATGTTAGAACATACGAGAAGCCCTGAAGTTCGGGAACTGGCAATATGAATTGTCGGAAGATCAACAGACTGTGGAATTCTATGTTGGCATCTGGATTGTAGACTAAACCATGAACCATCCAGTAAGTTAGGGGGCAGAGGAAGCTACAGCGTCCTCATGGGCATATGACAATAAGGAAGAAATGGTGAGTCAGCAGATGACCAGAATAAGGTTCAGGAAAGAGATGGCAGAAAGGCCAAAGGATGGTCGACTTCAAAGAACTCAGAGTTGAAGACTTTGGAGGTGGAGGTCTAGGCAGTAGATGATTGTTATGTATTTATGGGGAGGTGGAGCAGAGACAAAGATCACGGGCAGCTGTGCCAACACGAGGAGGCTCTGAGGAGGCCTGTGACTCGAGTGGTGAGGCTCGTAGGAGTGAGTGTCATGGTACAACTTGTGCCACTGTGAAAACCATGAGCGCATGCTCTCAGGGCCCTGCCCCACCCCTCAGCCCTTACCACTGTCGTGCATCCTAGTAGCTCAGAAGGGGTCTCTGCCCAGGTGCAGGGCAGGCCAGAAGCTTGGGGCAGATAAGCACCCCCCCAAAAAGTCATTCCTCAGCAACAACTTAGCTCATTTGCATCTCGGGTAGGACAGCTTTGAGGTGTGTATTTTGTACTTTTCACTAGAGTTTCCTTGAATGATCAGACCTTGGTTACCCCCATGAATTTATTACCCCCATCCTTTTATTTACTGCTTTCACTTCCCAAGGTCCCTTCTTCCCTTTCCCAGAAGTGTTTCCAGCACCTTCCACAGCTATTTGCTTTTGAATTCTCAGCCTGCACATGGGGAGCTAAACTAGTTCACAAACATGTCATTTGGCCATCAGAATAACTCTAAAAAGAGTAAGAATCAAGATTCAGTTGATGCTGTTTTGAGAAGGGTGTGAGTGTGTGTTCTCAGGGCCTGCCCCAGGGCTGGCAGAATACTCTTAGTTACCTTTTATAAAAGGAAACAGAAAAGCGGTTGTCCATTTTTCAAACCCACCCAGAGATGCACTAGTCTTCTGTTTTTTTTTTTTCCCTATGTCTTGAATCCCTATATCTAATCCCTATATTCAGATTGGTAGATTACCACTGTGAGCATGGGAAGAGGAAGGTATGCGTTAGGGTGTGAAGACCGATAGATAAATCATGACAGGAAAATAATCCCAAAGGTTAAAAAATGGACCTTATCAAGGGTGTGAGGTGCAATGCAAAGGATTAACCAAGATAAGAGATGGTCCAGGGGCGCAGTACTGTTGAAAATCACGTGTTTAAACAAATGCGATGAGATGAAAGGAAAAAGACCAGAAATAGGAGTGAGTTCATTCACTGTAGAAAGCGGACATGATAGGGACCAAAGTACTCACTCAGCAGGTATTCTGTGGGCTTTAGAGGGAAGTCGTGAGTTTCTCCAGAATGTGAGCTAGGGCTTTTCTCGTGCCCATTGTTCTACAGTCTCATAGAGAATGTCTGAATTCACATGAAAAAAATATCCTTTTTATTGATAAATAATAATTGTACATACTTCTGGGGTAGGTGTAATATCCTGATACATGCACGCACTGCGTAAGTCCTCAGGTATTTAGGGTGTCCATCAGCTCAAACGTCCATCATTGTGTTGAGAACATTTCAGTTTCTCTTCTAGCTATTTTGAAATATACAATAAATTGTTGTTAGCCATTGACGCCCTACTATGCTACGGAACACCAGAGCTTGTTCCTTCTCCTCTGCTAACCAACCTCTCTTGTACAGCACCCCTCTTCCCAGCCTCTGGCAACTATCATTTTTCTCTGTACCTCTAGAAATCAACCAAAAATATGTTTGAAACACCAGGGGTGGGCAGAGGTTTGGAATCTTCTGAGATGCACTCACGATCATTAATGAAATAACATTTCAGTATTATAGAACTATACAAAATAGCATTATGGAACTGAAGAGATGACAGTAGGGGTTTCATCTTCATTTTTATTATTCTGCACCCTCCTGCTCTCCCACCTGACTCTTGCATTTCACCCATATCTGTTCATCTTAAGAGGTGTGATGGCCCCTGGCTGCTGGTGTCCAGACTGCTAGATTTGGCTCCTTCTAATGATAGTTTTGGTGAGCTGACAGACGCAAAGAAGTCCTCCTGGGCCTTTTAAGATGATAGAGTAAGTGTATTCCTTTAAAATGTTATTTCCACGAGTAATCACGGAAATCTTATTTATATTTTCTAAATTAATCATATGAAGGCTAACTTCCCCTTGTCTGCAACTGCCTTTATTTTTCTATAATGAGATTAAGGTAATTTACATTAGTGGGGATTAACGGGAAGGGCCTTTGTGAAATCAGAGGGGCTAAGTTTCTCCCTTCATTTTACCTCTGATTGTGACACCATAAGCAAGCCATATCCTAGTCTCATTAGAAGAGCCTGTGGAGAAGAGCAGGAGCAGGGAGCCATATGGTGTGTGAGGTGCCTGCTGGTTGAAAAAGTTCAGGGCCTAAAAATAATCTCAACATGATAAACTCTGTTGAAATTAGGCACCTGGGCAAGTTAACTGGCTCTTGACCTACCCAGGAGATGGCCTTTTCCCCCCTCCCTGCATAGAGATCAGACGTTATAAATAGCCCTAGAACAGCCACAGCCCTGGTTTGAGAATGAGGGTGTGGGATTGACAAGTATGTGATTTCAAAATGATTGTAAAGATGGAGGCATGATCAATAATTATCATGATGCTTCCTAACAGGTTTGACCAGGACATAGTGCACATGGGGGGTTGTGTGTGTGAACTTTGCAAATACAAAGCAGCATTGTCTGGACACGTGATGAGTGTGCTGAACATGGCTGAGGTGGAGAAGCCAGAGACAATCCCAGATAGACATCAATAATGTGAATAATATGCTTTTATACTAACACTAGACTTAGAAGAAGTACAAAAAATTGTTCAAGTTTGTTTGCTCCATACTGTATTTTACTACAAAAAATTTCAAACATAGAAAGTTGAAATCATTTTACAGTGTATACCTGTCTATACAGTATAACCTGTCTATACAGTAAAACCACAACCTGGTTTTACCATTCATATTTTGATATAGTTGCTTATTGCACACCTATCAATCCACCTATCCTTCTGTCATCCATCAACTCATTTTTTGTGTATTTCATAGTAAGTTGCAAACATGAGTATGTTTCTCCCAAACTCAAGGTTGTTTTCAGTTTCTAATTTTTAGGTAAAATTTGCACACAATGAAATAGACAAATGGTAAGTGTACTATTCTATGGGCTTTGACAAAGGCATACTCTTAGTCTCACGTATCCTAAGCCTCTACTGAGATTCCAAGCATCTCCACCTCAGAAAGCTCCCTCAAGCCTGTCTGCAGTCACTCTGTCTCTGGCCAGCCAGAGGCAGCCACTAGGCTCATTTTTACCCCAAGTTAGGTTTTCCTCTTCTAGAACTTCATATAAATGGAATCATACAGTATCTATCCTTCTGTGTTAGGCTTTTACTCAGCATAATGCTTTTTGGATTTCCCCCAAGTTATTGTTTTAGTAGCTTTTTAAAAAATTTCGTCTCAGCTTGCTTATTCTTTCTGTTGGCGATACTTGGCATGTACTGATGGATGCATGGTTATCATAAATGAAGTTATGATGAACATCCTTATACAAGTACTTTGTGGGGGAAGAAATGCTAGGGTAGGTACATGTTTATTTTTTAAAGAATCCAAGAGGTCATTTTACAGAGAGGTTGTTCCATTTTACACTCCCACCAATAATGTATGAGGCATCTTTGTTAGAACTTGGTATTATAATTTTTCAGAATATATGAGATGATATCCTATTATGATTTTAATCTCCATACCCCTAATGAGTAATGATGCTGGACATTTTTAAATGAGATTATTGACTCTTCAAAAATCTTCTTTTGTGAAGTGTCTGCTCAAATCTTTGGCCTACTTTTCATTGGGTTGTTTTTTGATTGTTTTCATTATTGGGCTACAGGGGGGTCTTTATATATCCTGAATATCAGCTCTCTATCAGATCTGGGTTTCTACCAGCTTGTGTCTGATTTATTCACTTTCTTAAAGGTATCTTTTAATCAGAAATTTAAAATTATGTATAATTTATCAATTTTTTGTTTTTATGAATTTTTGTTTTTAAATATTATTTTTTTCTATTACAATGTTATTTTCTACTAAGAAAACTTTACCTAACCCCATGTCACAAAGATGTTCTGCTATGTCTTCTCCTGAAGGTCGTATGGTTTGAGCTTTTACCTCTACCTGTATGTTCCATCTCAAATTAATTTCTGTGGATGATATGAGTTAAGGATAAGGTTTTATTTTTTCCCAAATGGATATCCAGTTGTTCCAGCACCATTTGATGAAAAATTGTCTTTTTCCAACTTGATTGTGTTGGTTCCTTTGCTAAAAATTATTTATTTTTCTGTATTTTTTGATTCTTATTACTATGTATTTATAGCACATCTTGAAGTCAGGTAGTATAAGTTCTCCAACTTTAGTCCTCTTTAAGATTTCTTAGCATGGCTGCTTTGCATT